TACCCAGCTGGGCACCGCGTGGGCCCTCCCGACCTGACCGCGGCTCGCGCCAGATGAACTCGTGCCTAATCCTCTTGGTGATGAGGCTGCGCAGGGGATTAGCCTTTCCCTGCTCCACCTTTGGGGGCCATAAGGACAGTTCATGCTCTGCCACCCTCGTTTTCTCTGCTCAGGATTCATCCTTCACAAACAAGGACTTGGGGTTGATTTCTCACCGATCCTTTCAGCCCTCAGTAGCACTCAGGTAAAGCCTGCACAGCTCCCTCTGACTCCTGTGCCATCGTTGGGGTCTTTAGTCACTCAGGCTCTTTCTCTTCCTGCCCCATCCCTGAGCTGCCCCCAGGGGCCAAGCAGGCTGTGCCCTCCCTGGCTGTGCCCTCCCTGGGCAGCAAACACAGCTTGGGGAGCATTTCCCCTCATCCCTGCACACCCCGACGCATGTCACACCACCCACCTGCACACAGCCTTTTGCTGCTGCTCCACAGGCACATACCCTGCCCAAAAAAGTCTGGCAGCTTTCCCCGAGGTCAGAGGTGCAGCAGAGACTTCATCCTCTGAAGTCCAGGCGTTCTGCCCATCCCTACTTGGAGCAGCAGGACACAAACTGCTTTTGTACCCAGGATAGGAAATCAAACCCATCAGCTCAGAGCTCTCTTTTCCAGCACTATGGAGCAGCAAGGCCTTGTAGTTTATCCTCTTTCCTAGATCTTCCACCCCCCTGCATTTAACCTCTGCACCTTAAAACACACAGAAGTAGGACAGCTTTGCAGCTTGGCCTTTAAGCTGCTCCATCCCAACCCCCCCGTGGTGAAGCAGCCGCTAACTCTGAGCACAGACACAGCTCCCTGTGGGATAAACCAGTCCCTGAGCACAGACACAGCTCCCTGTGGGATAAACCAGTCCCTGAGCAGACACAGCTCCCTGCAGGATAAGCCCCTGAGCAGACACAGCTCCTGCCAGCACCAGCACCAGCAGAGCCCACAGCCATCCCAGTCCTGCCTCGCAGTGGGGCCAGCCAAGCCCAGCAGGGACTGGACCCTGGCACTCCCTGCAGCAGTCACAGCCACCGAGGAGGGAAAGCACCAAGGGAACCTCCCAAGGGCCACAGGACACAGAACAGCTCCTACACCAAAGGGGAAGAATTCCAGCCAAGTCCTCATAAAGCAAGTGGAGAACAAAAAGCACCAGGAGTCAAAACTTGGACTGAACAAACCATGAGAAGAGACAAACATGGACCTTTTATTGTTTATGTACAAATGACAGAAGTTTGTATTAAAAAGAGGATCCACCCAAGCCCACGGAGCTGGCTCCGAGCTCAGCCCTTCCCACACCTAAGCACTGCAGAGTCCTGGAGATGGTGCTTGAAATGAGAGAAAAGGGCTAAACCACCTTCTCTGCTTGAGTAAGAACCAAACAAGCTGCTCCACAAAATGAAGAACTTTCCACTACACAGATTAAACAAAGAAACCCAAAGTCAACTTGTAACTATACACTTTGGCTTTAAAAAAACACAACAAAACTGATGAAATAAACAAAACCTAAACCAAACCTACAAAGCTAAATATCAGCAACAAAAGTAATCTAAGTCTCACAACATGGATGGGACACACTGAATCCTACCCCAGTTCCAGTGGAAAAGGAAATGCGTCTCTGTGTCTGCAGGTGACAGGGGCAGCAGCATCAGCCATTTCAGCAAGTTCCCGAGGTGGAAGCACAGAACAGTCAGGAATTCAGGACTACTACAACTACTACTGCACCACCCTCGTCTTCCTGCAACTCAGGTGATTTAACAATGATGCAAAGTACATGGTCCATGATTTCCTCCCCCATCCCAGTCCCTCAGGGCGAGTCACTCCAGCTGCCATCCTGGTTCAGGGCTTCTCAGTGGGAGGCACAGACCTAAATCCCAGGAGCATCAGCACTGATGGCTCTAGTAGTCCTGCAGAGAAAGGACAGCACAGGCATATGAGCTCCTGGAGCTGGGGGCTCAGTCCTCCTCTCACACACTGCCTTGAGGCAAAACAGCTTTTCTTGTCTGAACACTCAGACAGACCCTTCCAGCCCTGAGCCAGACGCTTTTGGCACTCCAGGTCCTGACAAGGCACCAGGAGAAGTGCACAGGGGCTACGTGTGCCCGGGGCTCGGGCCAGCCCATCCGTCCCTGCCACAGCACAGTGCCCACCCCAGCACACTGCCCACCCATGCCAACCACAGCACACTGCTCACCCCAGCACCACACTCCAGCCACAAAAACAAGAGCACAAAGCACGGCAGAGCAGCAAAGCTCAGGAGTCAGCAGCCCTCGGGCAGGGCACAGATACTTACAGCTCTTGGCTTTTTGTTTAACTTGAGATCAATCCTGTGGTTGGAGAGACAAGAGAAATGTCCACGTCAGTCCCTGACCTGACACTGGAGCACAGGGCACAGCTACGACAGACTAGGGTTAATCCATCCATTCCCTCCTGGCTGAGCCAGGGCCTGGCCCAGGGTTACTGGGCACGAGAGCAGCACAGGAGAGGGGAGTTATTACTAGCCAAAAAAGCGTTTTCCATCCACTCCCAGCCAGAGTTAATCAAGGCTCCCAATCAATCCATCAATCCCAGGCAGGTGAACAGGGGGTTGAGCATGCTCTATGTTAATTGTCAAGGGTGGAACTATGCCACAGGTAATTAATCATCCAGCCACAGTGTGAGGGTTATTTACTTGATAGAGAGAGGAGTTAGGATGACAGGGATTGCATGAGCCAAAGGGACTGAGTTTAGTACATTCTCCAGAAGGAAATATCCAAGTCTATACTAATCTCCTTAAGCAGCAAAGCCAGAAGGATCTGTTTTTTAACTAAGTTTTAAAGTTAAAAAGCTGTATCTATTTAAAAATGAAACAGAAAGGCAAAGAAGAGTGAAGTTAATTTAGTTTTGCTGAAGTTATTAAATAAAATGTTACCTCCATCACGCTTTTCTGTTTTTAAAAATAACTTCCCAGCCTAACCTAATATACATACCTACAATTAAACAGACAAACTAGGGGTTAGCGAGGTCTCAAAAGGCACATCGGTGTCTACACACTAACAACACAGCACAAGTACCGAGTCAAGTCAAACTTACTCAAAGTCATAATCAAACATGCCAGACGGGCTGAGGGGCAGCATTTGAAAGGAAGAAAGCAATAGAAATTAATATACTAACAAATTAAATCAATTAGTTGATTAGCCACCCTAGCGAGATTGCTAAAAAAATAAAAAGAAATGGAATAAAGTGCTCAAACTCCACCAGGTTGTTCAGCATCAGCCAGGGCTGGGCACAAAGAGCACTGCAGACATCCAGAGTCCCCTCCCCACTCTGGGGGCAGAGCTAGCAGAGCCAGGTTTGGGTTAGGAGGGGATTTGGGGGCTGGAAGAGGAGCAAGTGCCAGAGCCCGAGAGCAGAGCTCAGGGCTGGGAAAGCAAAGGGGGAGTCAGGGGGGTGAGGGAGTGGGGAGGGGTCAGGGAGGGTCACAGAGCAGGGCAGAGCTGCCAGGGCAAAGCAAAGCTGCTCGGGCAGAGAGGACACAGTGCCCAAGTCTGCACGGGGCTGTTCTCCCACCCCTAGCACTCAGCCCAGCTGAGGAGACACCAGGGTCACTGGGCCAGAGCAGTTTGCTCAGTCCCTCCCCTCCACAGGTGCCTCCAGCCACAGCTCTGCCCACAGCTGGTGCTGGCTGGGAGGGATTGCCATGGCATCACATTTCAGGACTGCTCTGCCAGGAGACAGCACCGTGTTCCCTCGGACACTTGTTAGCCATGGAAATCGCTGAGCACACAAGAAAGATCTGTCCTGGCCTTCCTGCGGAGCCCGAGGGTGCCAACCCCCTGAGGCCTGGTGTGCTGAGCCGACTGCCCCGTCCCCCAGGCTGCCCCAGCCAGGCTGTGCTCCCCTGGGCCTGTGCCCAGCACCCCCGGGAGCAGCACCCAAGGCGGTGCTGGCAAATGCAAGAGCTGCTGCACGACCAGCAACGCCAACAGTTTTTACACTTTTCTCTTTGTCATGCCAGGACACTCAGGACAAACTCCAGGTCTGCCTGGCAGTGCCCTCACTGCACACTCAGGTCACTGACACTGAGGCCACTGGCACTGGTTTGTTGGGGGATTTAACCTAAATATACTGGAAAATTGCTTGGTCTTGTCTGACAAAATTTAGGGGATAGTCAGTAACAGCAATCACAATTTTAACAGAGCTTTTATTACAGACAAATTTAATTATCTTCTTTTAACTCTCTCTCTGGCCCTGCTGAGCATTACAGTCAGCCACGGCCCTGCTGAGCCTCTGGGCACGGCAGGAGCGTCTGACAGGGACATGAGAGCTGCCACCCCTGAGCAGAGCAGAGCTCCCTGTCCCTCAGCAGCAGAGGGAGGATGTGGAGGAGCCCAGAGCCACAGAGCCTGCCAGGGCAGCTCCCTGCCAGCCCCTGGGGGCAGGGCCGGGCGGAGCAAAGGGTCTCTGCACGCTCAGCCCTGCCCTGCACCCACCACGCTGCTGCCTCGGCCAGGGAGAGCTTGGGACAGCATTTTAGAATTGGTTTGGAATGGCAATTTCCTTAAGCTGTACTTCAGATTTACAGGATGTTTCTCTGGACTTGCTCACGGATGTAGTTTCTTGTGTTATTCCTGAACTTCTTCCAAATATCTACAGGCAAAAAAAGAGATTTGAACTGCTTTGGATTCCCAGCTCATGAGGAACCACGGGGACATCCAGTCCTTTGGGACGTTTGCCCAGTTCAGGCTGCTGTAGGGAGGAGATTCTGACCCCAGAATTAAAGACACACTAATGACTCAACACCTAACAGAGGAAAAAAAGGAGTTAAGCAGTTTCCAGGCACTTACCTACCTAACCAGACCCCAGACCACTGCCCCTACCCCCTTGTTTACCACTTTTAACCACTTCCCTCTTTAACTGCAGGGGAGGTCCCTTAAAGGGGAATAACCCATCCCTACCCAGGGCCAACAGCTCAGAGCCACTTTGGAGTTACAAAAGCTCTGTCACTTCCCCTAACCCTCGAGTCCCAGCTCCAACCTTCCTCCCAGGGACGTGCAGCTCTGCAGCATCTCCTCTCCAGGGATTTCTGTTCTTCCCCCCAGGGCCTGGCCCACAGGCAGTGCTGCTGGGGGTGTGGGGACACAGCTGAGCTCAGGGGACATTGGCCCACGGAGAGCAGAGCAAGGAGGTCACAGCATGCTCTGAGCCACCAGCCCTGCACCACAGCCTGGGCACAGAGCTGGACAGGCAAATCCAAACAGAAAGGGTTCAGGGACTCTGTTTCACGTGGCTTTCAGGTCAGTTCACTAACAAACACGCTGAGGTGAAGGTGACACAGCAACTCCTCCGTGCCAGCACTGAGGCACTCGGCTGGGACGTGGGACTGGAAGAGGCTGGAGTGGAGATCCAGATACTGGGAGTACCCACAACCCCAAAACCATTCCCATCTGCTTTCCACCCTCCTCTGAAGAAAGCATGGCCACTCCTGCCTTACTGGGCTCTGCAGAAAATGAGCAGCAAGCACAGGAGGGCAGGACCTGCTGGAGGGAATCAGCCTCATCCTCCTGGAGAGATGGGAGAGCTGGAGAAGCCACCCAGCAGCAGAGCTGTGCCACAGCTGGAGTGACACCCTGTGCCACTTGTTTGACTTCCTCAGCACTGTCCCCACCTCGACGGAAGGGCTGTGAGGTCCTGCCAAGTGCCACAGGATGCACAGCTACAAACCAGGAAAAACACCCCAACAACTGCCCCAGCTGCCAGTTACCCCCACAGGACACTGGTTCCTCTCAGGCAACAGGCCCAGCCCCGCCCCAGCCCCAGTTCAGGTGTGGCAGAGAGGCTGCTGGAACCACTGACCTGTGCCTGTTTTTGTTCTTTCGCTTTTTGTGGCTGCTGTGGTGGCTCCCAGAGGAGGTGGAGGAAGCAGCTTTCTGGGGCTTCACCCCCTGCACAGACCCATCCAGCTCCTCAGCATCCTCCTGGCTGGGCTCGTTCTCCTGGTTGTGGAAGTCTGGGGAAGTGTCGCTCTCCGTGCCACTGCCTGGCTCCCCTAGGGCAGGACAAACACGGGTGAGCACCGGGGCAACCTCCTGGCTGCCCTGGCACAGCCCTGGTGGGAGAAACCACCCCAGAACAGCAGCAGAGACACCCGAGCCCTACAACACCAGGAGGTGGATCACAGAACCCGGGAAACATCCCTGCAGGATGGCCAGGAAGCTGCTCCTCACAGACTGAGGCTCTCTGGAATTGCATCCCATTTGGTGCTGGTCACAAAAACATTGTTAGATATCCCAGAGGGAAGTGACCCCTTCCCAAATCCCCCACGACTGACTGACACCTACAGCAAAGCATCACTCCAGCTCCTCCAGCCTCTTCCTCCAAACCCACCTCAATCCATTCCATGCACTACCAACCCTTGCTGAGTGTGGAAGGTGCTCGGGAAGCTCCAGCTGTTCTCAGAGCACCATGTGCAGCCTGGTGCAGCCCAAGGACCCAGGACAGGAGCTCTGAGTCCAGCCTGGATCCAGAGCTGGATGTGAGGAGAGTGCAATTCCTCCCAGATCCCACAGAAATGACAGAGTGACTTACGCTTCTCAATGAGCTGGTCCTGGACTCCAGCTAACGCACTGACAGCCTGGGAAACCGAAAGGGATGTCAAGGACAGAGGGATTCACTTCCCGTGGTCACACGCTCAGAGCACAGAGCTCAGCTCACACAGACACAGCCCCTGGAAGTGCCCATGGCCCTGCACATGGCACGGGGATCTGGAGCAGGGACACCCAGGGACAGCAGGGACACCCAGGGACAGCAGGGACACCCAGGGACAGATGTGGGGTATGGCTGGTTCCGACTGCAGAACCTAGATTAGGTTCCAGGCACCTGGCAAAGGGGCTCTGGGAGAGGCTGCGAGGTGGGACAGAGATGCCCAGGTCAGGGAGACAAGGCAGGTGTGGGAAAAGTGGTTCTGCAGCAGCACAGGTGAGCACAGTGGGACCAGTGCAACGAAGGACAGGAATGGGGACAGGGATAGAAACAAAAACGAGAGGCAGGGATAGGGGACAGGGAAAGAAATAGGGACAGGGACAAGGATAGGGAGGGAAATGGAGACAGGAATGGGGATGACAGACAGGGATGGAGATGGGGGACAAGGACAGGGATGGGAACAAGAACAGGGATGGGGGCAGCGCCAGGGGCATCTGCTGGTCTCGTCCCACCACTGCTCCTCCCGGCACTCACCGCTGCCGAGGTGACGGAGGACTTGCTGAAGAGCCTCTCAGCCTCCTTGAACTTGCGGTTCCTGCGGTCGTTCTTGCTGTTGGAGTTCCTGCAAC